GACAGCATAGTAAAAAGCAGAGACATCACCCTGCCAACAAAAGTGTGTATAGTCAAGGCCATGGTTTTCCCAGTTGCAATGTATGGATGTGAAAGTTGGACCATAAGAAGGGCTGAGCGACAAAGAATTGAGGCCTTTGAACTATGGTGCTGAAGAAGACTCCTGCGAGTCCCTTGGACTGCAAGGCATTCAAACCGGTCAGTCCTAGAAGAGATCAACCCCGACTGCTCTTTAGAAGGCCAGATCCTGAAGTTGAAACTCAAATACTTTGGCCACCTAATGAGAAGGAAGGGCTCACTGGAGAAGGGTCTAATGCTGGGAAAGATTGAGGGCAATAGAAGAAAGGGATGAGAGAGAATGAGGTGGCTAGATGGAGTCACTGAAGCAGTAGGAGTGAGCTTAAATGGATTCCAGAAGATGGTAGAGGACAGGAAGACCTGGAGGAACATTGTCCATGGGGTCGCGATGGGTCGGGCATGACTTCACAACTAACAACAACAAATACATACATTCAATAATGTAGTTTAATATTCCCAAGTTCTAATTTATTAATGATTTGACTAGGCTGCTTGGCTTTTGTTGGCATGCACAGTTCTGAGAACTAATTCCTGATCTCACAGTATGAAGGGGTATTCTTGGGCATATGTATCATAGTTATGTTTTTGTCCACTGAAATTAATAAAATCTTTTATTGCCATGGTCAGTTGTTATATCACTACACAGTTTGATCTGATTTCTTTAATATGCATCAGTTTACTCCTATAAATGCCAAATTTATTTAATTTTTTTGCTTTAAATATTCACCAGAACAGAGAAAGAGGATGTATGTCAAATAATTACAATTCTTTATTATACAGCTACAATGAAAATGTCATGGTTCTGAAAGATGAAACTCTTCAAAGAACTTTGAGGCATTGTTTACCTTAAAGAATCTTTAATCGAGCATCATAGCTTCGGTAGGTACATAGTTGAAGCCAAAATCTGACTTCCCCTCCCTTCAGCACATAGATCAAAGCACAATTTCCTCCTACAACTAACAGTCATAAATCACATTCTCCAATTAGTTTGAAATGCTGGGTTCCCCCCAGTTTCCTCTCCCGCCATTCTTTATCAGCTCTTCTTATGATATTGTATGTCTAACTAATTCCCATCGCATTCCTCCCCCTACCCCCAGCATCATCTAACTCTAAGAGTAAAACAACAGAAAGAAAAAGGCTGCATCTCCATCATTGTCAAAGCAAAAACATCCAATGTTAGCAGCATTGACAGAAATAACATATTTCGATAACAAATTTAGAGGATGTGCTGAGCCATCTTATACCGAGAAAGCTGTTCACAATTTAAATGAGAAAGATGAATATTTGCAAGGACAAAGAATCAATCAAATTGTGTACTTGACAATGAATCAGTAAAATTGTGTATTTCATTCTGAAGTAAGCTTTGTTTTAAACATGAGCCTTGTGGTATAATGTCAACTAATGAGATAGTTCAGCATTAGTGATTGTTTGGTGACATCCAAGGGTTTTACTGAAAATACAATCATAGCTGCATTTGCAATTCAGGAACATGAGCAGATTCTGAGATAGGAATAGGAAAGGATTCATGAATAGAATAGAGCTGGAAGGGACTTTGGAGGTCTTCTAGTCCAGCCCCCTGCTCAAGCAGGAGAATCTATACCATTTCAGACAAGTGACTGTCTAGTGTCTTCTTAAAAACCTCCAGGCACTGGGTACTTGTGGCAAAAGAGGAAAATAATTACCTGATTGAGATTAGGAGGTTATTATTTCAAAACTTGCAAGAGTACTGTAAATAGGAAGGGCTAAGTTATCCAAGCAGCCTGTGTTCCAGGTGAAAACTGAAAAATGCAGATCAATCACACGATAGCATTATACAGTTGGGAATACATGACAGGGATTGGATCCATGTTTACTTCAGGCCAAAAGACTTATTGCATAAGCACTGTCACTACAGAACTATTCTTATGTTGTGACAAAGCTTTTCGCTATTGTTCTTGCTTTTCATAAATTTTATCAATATGTGTATTGTAAGTCCACAAGCCACCATAAGCTATTACAGATGGTCCTAATGTATGACCACAATTGGAACCAGGATTTCCATTGCTCAGCAAGGCAGTTGCTAAGTGAATAGTTCCCAACCTTAGGACCTTTTTGCCACAATTGTTAAGTGAATCATACAGTTATTAAAGGAAACTGTCTTCCCCCATTGACTTTGCTTATTGGAAGCTGGCTGGGAAGATCGCAAATGGTGATCTTATGACCCCACAACACTGCAATCATATAAATACATGCCAGCTGCCAAGCATTGAATCTTTAATCACATAACTGTGGGGATGCTGCGGCAGTCATAAGTGTGAGGACTGGTTATAAGTCACTTTTTTCAATGTCATTGTAACTTTGAACGCTCACTAAATGAATGGTTGTAAGTCAAAGACTACCTGTAATATAAAGCCAATGGAGCAAGCATCTTTCCAGAAATGTTGCTACAGCTTCAGAGATATGACCTGAAGAGAGCTGATATCCAAAGGTGAGAGATATTGATAGCACGTACACTATCTGGAGCAGCACCAAAGTCATCTTTAGGGAACAGAATGTACCATGAGATGAAAAAATTGTTCGTAGTTTGTACCTTATGTCAACAACAGAACTTCAGTTAAAGTGTTTGCAGTAAAGTACTAGAGACAACCCAGTACTGAAGTAAGTTTCTTTAGATGTGGGTAGGAAATGTTGTCAGTTATAATAATTAGAACTTGCAGGTATTAATCACTCAGATACCTGTCTAGTACCTGATGTACTAGACAGGAACGAACAAACAAATTGAGCAATTTATAGCCCAGTTGCTTCACCATAGCAATGCAAAATAATTCTCTTTTCATTCTTGAGTTTTCCGATACACCTTGTCTAAAAAGCTGCAGATATTTCTGAGATAAATTTCTTCTGGTAGTCAATTATTCTTAAGTTTCTAGAAGTCCCAGACATGGAAGATAAATCTTCTGCCATGATTATTGCTGAACAGAGAAATGTGGACACTATTGCTTCAGCATTTGCAGCTCTGGCTTTACGGAGTGCTCGCTTCTCTTGTGCCAAGATTGTCCTTCTGTGTTCATCGTACAACTGAACTAGAATATTAAGCCAGCCAAAGAAAAGAGCTGCTCAAGGTTTGCTTCTGGGTAGCATAAAGCGCTCCATGGCAATGGACCTAGGTATTTGCAAGACCGCCTCCTACCAAACACCTCCCTTCGACCAGTCCGCTCCCACAGAGAGGGCCTTCTTAGAGTGCCGTCGGCCAGACAATGCCGGCTGGCGACCCCCAGGGGGAGAGCCTTCTCTGTGGCAGCTCCTGCCCTCTGGAATGACCTACCCCCCGACCTACGT